AATTTACAAAAAATAATTTAAACAGTAGCAAAATTATTAGGTGATGTGTAGACCCTCCCAAGGCAAGGAGACAGTTCAGTTCTCTGAGAGCGGGACATTTCCTTAGAATGCAGATAGAAACTTCAACAATGCTGCTTTTAAATATCAGCGGAAGTGTAAAAACTTGAGACATGATTGGAGAGGGACCACCAGCTCAATCTGCACTGCAGCTGTGTCCCCACTGCAGTGTGGCTGGGAGTTTACGATGCTGAAATAGCCCCACCTCAGCACTTCGGAGTCCGTGGGTCCTGGCGGGGGCCAGGCCCAGCGCAGGTGTGAGCGGCTGCCCTGCTCGCCCTGCAGAAGCGCTCCAGCTCCGTGGAGCCAGGTCCTGGATTTTCCACTGCAGCCTGGTTGCCTTTCCAGTAACAACCATGACTTCAAAGGGCTGCCAGCGAGCAGACTGGGCAGTTTCCCCAGTGAACTCACTGGGCTGCGTGCGTGGGTGTCCTGAGCACAAGGGTGTTGGAAACCACCCCCTGGCAATTCCAGGCTCCAGAACTGAGTCTGGAGGGAGGGTGGAGCAGGAATGCAGCCAAAGGATCTGCTCTGAACTGGATCCCCCAAGGCAGGGGTCACGACTGGTGATTCAAGTCACCCCTGGTAGGGCTGGCAGGGAGGCAGGGAGGCCAGGGCCACCCTCTGCCTTACTTTTTCCTCTTTCAAGTCCCCTGCAGCTCACTGGCTCACTCTCCCCCCCCAGCCTAACTTCCAAAGGCGTTACCTCTCTCTTTTCATCCCCAAAGCCTAGCCCTGGCACTGTTGGCAGACACATGAGGATAGTACAAATCAGAGATGAGAGCTGGGCGCAGGAGGCAGGCCAGGGGGTGAGGGGAGAAGCCCTATGCGAGGGAAGGAGGACAGAAAGAAGAGTGGACGACACTGGCTGGCGCAGCTTTCATGGCTTCACAGAAGGTTCAGGAAGCAGGGAGTGTGCAGCCAGTGGCCTCCACGAGGCCCTGTGAAAAGGAGAGGAGGAGCCCAAGGTTGGGAGGACTACGTGACGATGCTTAGCATGCCCTGCTGTGCCTGTCACATTCAGGACCCCCTGGGGCAGCTCCTAAGCTTCACAAACAAAGCAAGTTCCAGACAACTCTTCACATTCTAAACATCTTCATTCGGTTCTTTTGGCCTTTAAGGTAGGATGACTAAACAAAGAGCTTTACAGAGTCTCATGGAGCTTCCTGGTGGCGCTGGTGGTAAAGATCCTGCCTGCAATACAGGAGACTCTGGTTCGATCCCTGGCTTGGGAAGATCCCTTGAAGAAGGAAATGGTCACCCACTCCAGTATTCTTGCCTGTAGAACTCCATGGATAGAGGAGCCTGGCGGACTACAGATAATGGGTTCATAAAGAGTTGGACACGACTGACTAACACACACACAGTTTCACAAACAGAGGGACTGTGAGCTGAGAAGAGCTCAGTCATGCACACCCCGAACTGTGGGTCTGGGAACCAAGGAAGGCCAGGCACTTTTTCAGCTACAGCGTGCCCTGCACAGACAAGCCTCCTCTGTACCTTCCTGCTCTTTGAAATCGTCTTCCCAAGGCAGAGGTTATTTCCCCCAAATTTAAAATGCTTAGACACTGAATAAACAGTCCCAGAAATGGGTGTGCAATAGAACTAGTTAGAAGCTGAAGAGAAGCTTGTAGCAGAGCCATCTCTGTGACTTATCAGGGATGTGGCCCCATGAGGAATTATGTAATGTCTTTAAGGGCCCCTGAGACCTGAACGCATCTTCAGTAATAAGAGCAGTCCTCTTACGCACGTCGCAATGCTCAAAGGGAGTCTAACCACACAAAAATGTCAGAGGATGCCAAGGGCGGAAGCCAGCCAACCACCGAGAAGCCCGCGGGCACACACGTGCTCCGAACTCCTGGCTCCCTGGATGTGCAGAGTCCCTGTTGACTCAGCCCCACCCCTTAAAGGTATTTCTAGAACTTAGGTTACTACTGCCCTTGGCAGCTCTGCTTCACACACAAATACTCAGAGGTTGAAGTTTACGAAGTGTGACCTGTTTATCAATGACAAAGTTCCATTAACCTCAGCTTCCAAATGTGAATTCTTACCTCTGGCCAGAGTCAGACGGTCTCAACTGCTGCCTGTGCCGAGGACGGGCAGGGCAGTGTGGGATGGGGGCAGTCATGGAACCCTGAGCCTGTCCCACCAGGCTAGGGGCTCCCACACCCAGAAAGTAAACCTGGGGCTTCTTCAAAACTAGGGTGGGTTTTCAAAATGCTCCTTGAGCCTCAGCAGTCCTGTTCAGCTGGGGAAGTAGCTGGCCTCAAGGGTCCCGAGGAAGCCGTGAGAATCAGGAAAGCCTCCCAGGAGGCAGGGTGAGTCTTCCTGACTCAGGCCTCGGTGCCCCCAAAGCTCGAGGGCTCATGGGGATTACGGCAGACACACCTAAGGGGCTGCCAAGGACTCTGGGGGCAGAGAGCATCCCAGGGTCACCCAATTCCCTAGACACTCTCTGCTCCTTAGAGAGACGTATGGTGTTCCCAACCAAGGTCAGAGGATACTGGGTTTGTTTGTCATTGAGGCTTTTCAGGTCATTTCTGGAAACCACCATGTCACCCCTCTTTTAGCTTGTTGAACAAAAGGTTTGTGCAGTCTCGATGATAAGAAGCAAGGCCAAAGAGCATCATTCAGAGCCAGGTTTTTAACTAGCGGGGCAGTCACACCTGGGGTCGTCAGTGACCCCACTAGAAGGACGACAAGCGGGAGGAGAGTGAGCCTGCTGGTGAGAGCAGTGATCAGTATTTCTGGAGTCTTATGAATTTGAAATGTGTAGGAAACAGTTCTGTTCTATTTTTTTGAGTCAAGAGACAGTTTGAAAGGACTGGGAGGTTCTTATGCTGAAAAGTGCCCTTCAGCCATCATCCGGTTGCCCAAACTTTGCTTGTGGACAGGTGGGTTTGTTCCCTGACACCGATTTTTCTCTTAGAGAAGAAGGTGCTTCTGGCGGAGGAGGGCCAGCAGGACAGCTGTCCGCGGTCCGTGGTCAGTGAGCAGGAGATGCAGGGGCCTCTCTTCTCTGCGGGGCCAAGCAGGGCTCCGGCTTTCCCAGGCCACAGCCGCTGACAGCCCTGCCTTCTCTTTTCTCGGATATCTGAAAGCCAGGCTTGTTCAGTGAGTAGATTAGGAAAGGATATGGGAACTAATTCCCCATACTTTGAAGCAGGGAAAAAGAGCCTTCTTGTGAAGAGAAGAAACAAAACCTGTTTGGTGACTTGTCATTTCAATGAAAACATAAGCCTCTCACAGGTGAGGGTTCCCTTGCGCCTCCCCTTCCTCCTGGTTCACAGGCAGGGAAGAAAACCCCAAAGCTCGCTCGGCTCCTTCAGAGAACGTGGGGACTCGGGGACAAACATTTCAGGAAAAGTTTCCTGATAAGAGTAAATTGTTTTTATGTTTATCTTGTTTTTCTCCATTCCTCTGGAATAAACAGAAAGAACTGATTTCTTAGATCACCTGCATTAAAAAACACCACTATCACATCCTCTGAAAGGTTACATTCCTCAAAGCCAGAGCTGTGGGAATTCAGCAAAGAGAATACAGTTTGTTTTGTTTTTTTTCTTTTCCACTATGGTTTCTCATAGGATACTGAATATAGTCCCCTGTGCCATACAGTAGGATATTGGTGTTTATTCTTTCTGTATATACTAGTTTGCATCTGCTAATACCAAACTCCCAGTCCAGCTCTCCTCCACCCTACCTTCCCCTTGGCAACCACAAATCTGTTCTCTATATCTGTGAGTCTGTTCCTGTTTCATAGATGAGTTCATCTGTGTTGTGTTTTAGATTCTACATGCAAGTGATATCATACAGTATTTGTCTTTGTCTGACTTACTTAGTATGATAATCTCTAGGTCCATCTATGTTGCTGCAAATGGCATTTTTCAGAGAATAGTTCTAATTTTTTTAAAAACAAATAAAACATTCAATCAGTCTTCAGGGTTCCTTCCATAAGACCTGACTTATCAATTCTATGAAACTCTTGGGGAGCCTACACTGGAGGCCACCCAATAAGAACTCTGAGTTAAGAAACCTGTGGATGTCAGTCTGAAGGCAGCTTGTGGGGGAGAGGGATGGGGAGAGAGAGCAAGAACGCAGCAGCTCCAACTGAGCCCTCTAGTCTTGAGAGACCTGAGACATGGGAGGGATACCCCCACCTCTGCCTTTTCTCTTCCACAAGGCTTATAAGAGGGGAATGACCCTGGGCAGACAAAAGCAAAGATCAACATTTCCACCAAATTTGTGAAGATAAGCCATGCACACTAGCCAATAGAGCTGGAGGAGGTGGAGGACGCGGGACTCTTACCCTGGAAACTGCAGGGTATTAATTACCCTTTGCAGATGACTCTGGTTTGCCAGTTTGAACGTACCTGCCTAAAAGCAGAGAATCCCCCCTTCCCCGACTCCCTGCTTTTAACTATTAACTTACAAAGTTTCATCTTTATCTTAATACTTAAAATCAGTAAAATAAAAAAAAAAAAGAAAAAAGTTTCATCTTTATCTTAATGGGGACTAAAATGGGGGTTGATTTACAAGCATCACTTGAAAAAAAACTGAGCACTTAGGATTCATATTTCCTTTTTGTTATGAGTTTACTTTGACATATGGTCCTTAAAATTCCCTTGAAGATGATCTTTTAAGGATGTCCTATCACAGAGTTATGGGAAGGAAACAAATGCCCCTCAGAAAACAAACTGTTTTTGTTAAGGTGATACATACAAATACAGGTTAGTTCATTAGTGGCTAAAATTTGAGCCTTGTACAAAATATACTGCTTTAATTGCTAGGCTTTTGGGCACAAAGTGGCCAGAGTAAGTCAGTATAATTATGAATAAGTAAGTAGAAAACATTATGAATAAATAGAAGGAAAGAATATTTAAAGAACCATTTAAAAGAAAATACCTGAGAATAAGGGTAAAATGCAAAAACAAAGTTACTTATCCTTAAGAGACATCTCTAAATTTATTTTTCAAAAATACCATTATAAGAGCAAATATACTAACATGTAGTCAAGTTCTAGTCACAATGAAGTCATAGGACAAGAAAAAAAGAATCCTCAAATACAAGAGATTTTAAAAATGTAAGCCATTTAAAAATACTGTGTAACATGGCATCTTGCTTTATAAAAAGGAAATAACAGCCCCCAAGAATCCTTTAAACAAGTCCAACATAAACAGAAGCAAAATAAAAACTATTTTTAAAAACCTGTAAAATCAAAGCACCTATTTAAATTAAGACCATTGAGAATCTATGAGATTATTTCGGGAGGACAAGAGCTAGGCAAGTCACTAAATACTGTCATTCTAAAGAAAACATTACAATCATTTTATGTAATTTACAAGGCAAATTGATACTATGAAAAACACCCTTCACAGCACATTTAGAAGTTTGAGTTTAAATAATACTCAACAGGAAAGAAACAGATTCTGTGACAGTGGCTGAGACATACAACAAAAGGGTGTGACTTTCAAGTGTGGGCCTTCCTGGTCTATTTTTAGAGGTTTTAGACTCCAGCCTGAAATAGTTTTGATAATAAAGCTGGTGGTTACAACCCAGCATGGGAGATATTGTATGGGAGAAAACCAGTTTCATGCTGTGTAACCTAGTTAGCTGCTTTTTCCCTTTTAAATTAATCCTGAGATCTTGCCCATGGAACATGGGGGCTGTTAAGACTCTTGTTTCCTTGTTTACCAGTCACCTTGGAACATGCAAAACTAAAATATGGTGATAAAATTAGGTTAAAATTAGGTGATACATGACATCTTTAAAAGTGTACTTCATACACACACACAAAGTATATTTCACTAAAAAAAAAAAAAAACTTTCACTAAAAAAAATGAACTCTCATGCTTAGCAGGAAGCTTATTTGGATTATTACTTTAACTGGGAACAGAACACATTGTTGAAGAAAAAGCACTTTGGTTCACCAAAATGTTATGGAGATGTGTCCTTAAAAGACTTCTTGATTAGGAAGTAATGATTTCTGTGGCATCATCTCAACACTGAGATGGTTTGTGTATCAAAAGAATAGGAAGTGATTGAATCCTGCAGTTATGCAACAGGGTTTTAAGAAGTTAATATATATGTAATAATGTGTGTGCATACCACCTATATCTGTATATATGTCCCTATAAACATATATTATGTACATGTATATACACAGTACATGATCATACACATATCTCCCAGTAACAAAGACTCTGTAGTTTGATAAGACTTTCTTAAAATTACCCTTTTTTCCAAACTGAACCTTTACATTCCATTCCCATAACTCAACATTATAGCAAATCATACTCTAAAGGCTTTAATTTTCAATTAAAAAAAAAAACCATCCTGGGCAAACCAAATTTTATCAAGAAACAAAGGCATATCTCAGGCTAACATACTGTCTTTCACCTTTAAAAAACTAACAAAAGACCAAAACAGTACTTTAAGACACTATGAAAATTGAAGAAGCACTTCTTTATTTTCTTGAAAAGGAGGGGAAGTTCCCTTTCTTAGGGAAATGAGTATGAGATCTACACTGGCTTTCCTCTCAAGCATTCGGGGATTAAAGGTTAGATCAGAGGCTCAATAACAGCAAAAAAAAAACAACAGACCTAAATCCCCTTCCTCCTAGATCCAAAAAACATATGGCATTTACAAATCATAGAAACCTGTAGGTTTTCAAGGTTATTCTCTGAGCTCTTGGAAAAGGGAAGACAAGACGTGGTGCGGGCCCTCTTAACATGGAAGGATGTCCCAGCTCGGATGCAGAATGGAGGGCGGCTCACCTATGGACGCCCAGGCCCTCATCTCTAGTCAACCCGGTACCCAGTCAGGGCTTCGTAGCTGTGCGCATGTGCACATCCATTTTTGGCTCTGCGCAGCAGGCCGCCCTGCCTTCCCCGGCGTCCGCTCACTCTCCATCATAAGTTCTCCTTCAGGAGGCCGAGCTTCCGCAGGGCCTCCCGGCGGGCCTCCTCCGTGGAGCCCCGGCCCGAGAACTGGACAGTGATACCCTGGGGTCTGAACCCCACAGCCCTGGGGAGCGAGCCCGACCGCTTCCTGGCCGCCTGTCCGCAGTCTGGCTGCTGGGGTGCAAGTCTGCTGGGGAGGGCCGGGTCCGGACGGAAGGTCACCGTCTTCCCGGTGGAGATGAAGGGTCCGGCCTGGCTCTTGAGGACGTCGTGGATGCTCTGGAAGCCGTTGGCCAGCGGTAGGGGCTGTTCTGTCTGCACGCCTCTGGACTGCTGGGCGCCGCGGGCCCCAGCCCGCGTGGGGACAGCCTCCTGGGCCGGGCCTGGCTGGCTCTGCTCGGGAGAGACGCTTCTCTGCTCGATGGTCTCGCCCCTCTGGGCCCGGTCCTCCGTCTCCCCCACAGAGAGGAAGGAGACGCCGTTGATATTGGCCAGGACCTGGGCTTTGCGCTCCTGCACGTTGACTGCGGCCTTGGAGATGGTCTTATTGAAGTCCTTCCCCGCACTGTTGGTCACACTGATGTTGCTCGGGAAGCGGTGGATCTTGGGCGCCGGCTGTCGGTGCCACGGTGAGTGGTCTCCGTGTCGAGGGGCCAGAGAAGCCAGCGTCCTCCACTCTGCAGGCCTGCCCTCTTTGGACGGAGATGTGGGCGAAAGCCCTTCATTCCCTGTCAGCTTCTCAGACATCTTCTGGGCGATGACGAGCGGAGTAGGGACCGAGCGGGGCAGTTTGGGGTGCTCTGCGGGGGGAGCGGGGGGCTCTCTCCTGGGGTGGGCCGGAGCTGCTACAGTTGAGGCAGGTGGGGAAGATGGCAGGGCCTCAGGCCCTGGGGGGTCTGACGGAGGAGACTTCTCTGCATCCTCTTTCTTGCCATCAAGGTCAAGGGTGTCTTCCTTTCCAAAAGGGCCAGCCCCTGAAAAGTAGCGAGAATCCCCATAAGCTACGGCCATATGTAGAAATAAATGCATCACCTTTCCTTTCCACTGATTTTATAAAGGTCTCAGGGATGTAATACCAATTTTAACAGTACGTCCTGTACTAAACTCCTACAGCCCCAGAACTAGAGAAAGGGTAGGCAGTGTGATTCTCAGAATCACGGGATGAAAGAAGCACAAGCCAGAAGCAGTCAGTACCTGGGAAGCACAGGCGCCACCATCCTGAGACATGTGCCAGGAGGATACACCTTACCTTAGAGCGGATTTTTACAAAGGCAAAGGAGGCGGGGTAGCTTGTGGTACCCACCAAACCCTCCCTCAGATCCTCTAGGTAAAGGATAGTTGGATGTGTCCCTCTCCTCCAGAAATAGAAATGTTTCCTGACAGCCTCTGATAGAGGTTACTACACCAGCCCTGTGAACCTTTACTATTAATATAGTCTAACATACCTGATCATAGATCACCTAACACTTTTCTGCACTTATACTCATGTTGGCTGCAAAATTGGGAGCCATGTGTTTATCTTTCTATCCTCAGAATCTCACACAATGCCTGCCACCGAATGGGTACTTAAAATTATGATGAAAACATCATATTAGAGAATTGATGGGCAAATGGCTAACTTTCAAAAAGTGTTTTCCTTAGTAAAATTATATAATCTGACATGTTTTAAAGATCAGCTGGTTCAAATTTATTTTAGGAATTATTCTTCAGGTAGACTGATTGGTCTCATTCTTTATTCTCACCCTGTGGGAATTTCCCTTCCTGTGTTGTCATCCTAATATGCCATGAAAACACCTATTTGGCTGGTCAATCAAACTACAGAGAGGATGCTTCCACCCTACAAAAAAATCTGATCAGCTCCACAAGCTCTGTACTGGCTAGAAACACAGAACCATGAGAAGAAGGAGGGCCTCTGTGTCTGGTACCACACGACGAGCCACGTCGGGGTGCTCCTGTCCTCACCTGCGGTCTCCTTCACCTCCTCAAGGCCCTCGGGCTCCCCGGCTCCAGGGCCCAGCTGCACCAAGGCCACGACATCCTCTGGCTTGGAGGGAGCGGAAGTGCTGTCTTCCAGAGACCTCGGAGAGTGCCACTGGGCGTCACCGTCACACAGGACCTGCCCCTCAAAGTCATCTTCCAGGGAATCAATCGTCTCTTCAAAAAACAGGAGGACATCCTTTTCCTCGTGTGTGAGGTACTTCAGGCTCTCATCATCCTGTACAAAAGGTTCAGGCGTGAGGAATGAGATAAAGCCAACAGTGGCTTCACAGAAGGGGAAAAACCCACAACAACACAGGGATCAGTACAGAAACCAGGGTGGGAATCATTTCCCGCCTGGGAAGTGTACACTTTCCTACCTGGAGAGTGTACCACCCAGGTAACCGCACTGGCACACCCCTGCCTGTGTGTCCCTCACCATTAGACCTGCATGAAAAAGGAGGTTGTCCAAAAGGTGTGGCAAATTATGGATCTTAGACAATTTTGTTCCTCGTGAGTCAATGACAAGAAAGCAATTCTTCAGTACCTCCAGAAGAGGCCTTTTCAACTCACTGCTAACAGATACACTTGGTTTCCCCATAGTAACAGTGGGGGGAATCTCTGGTTAAAGATGGTGGAGTGAAAACTTACATATTTATCTCATCTCCCTCCAGAAACATTACTAAAATAAAAATGGGCTTTATTTTTTTTAAAGACAAGTCACAAAGACAACTATAATAGGAAAAGACGTGACAGCAACATTTGGGAAAGTAGACCAGCAGAAAGAAAGGTGGGAACTGACGCAAAAGACCCAAGAAAGGTGAATTTTAGTCAGCGGCTGGGGGCAGGGGCAGAAACCAACCTCCTGTGGTCTGGGGCTCAGACTTCACGGGGGTCAGCACAGTGTGGGGGTGCTGGGAGGCTCTGGAAGTCTGGCTAAGATGACATTGAAAAGAGCAGAACTGGACGAGAGGCTCTTTCAGAAGCAACTAGGTCACCCAGGCAGAAAACTAGATGTTTACTCTTAAAGAAGGTAAAAGAGGGATCAGAAGGGTGGGGGCATCAAGCTGAGTTTACGGTGAAGAACCATACTGATAAAGGGGAGTCAGGGCATCAAACTGACCCTCTCTGGACAGAGGATCAGAAGGACCTTCTCTGGGGAACTGAAGGGTCCAAGTGCCAAGAAGCTCCGAAAGATCACTCTACCAGTGAAGTCACAATCAACCACCCCAGCACAGAATATTTATAATCAGTTTAATATCTCACTCTTAAGTGTGTGCATATAGCTAATGATCACCAAGCAGGTGAGAAAAACCTTTAACAAGAAAGACACATCAAAACAAGAAGGAAAAAAAGGCAACTTACAAGAAATAAACCATGTGGAATGCTGAAAATTCCAAGAAGATCATGAACATTCTCAGAGAGATCAGAGGAGAGACTGAATCCATAAATAAGAATCTGATGCTACTTTTAAAAACTAGAAGAAAAGAGCTCTTAGATATTAAAATGACAGGAAAAAAAAAAAAAGAAATAAAAGCCTAGAGATAAACTAGAGTAACTGGAAAAGCACAACAAAAAATTGAAAAAAAAATTTTTTTTAGAGCAGAAAATTAGAGAATATGTGTGTGAGGGCCAACAACTGAATAAGAATTCCAGAAACAGGAATCAGGAAAAACAGAGGGGAGGAAATGATCAAAGTAAACAGGCAAGATAATTCAAGGAAATGCCCTTAAACAGAAGGATGCAAGTTTCCAGATCAAAGGGTTATGAGAATGACCTGATAAACAAGAACACACCAGTCCTCACCAAGGCCCATCCCTTGAAGTTTCAGCCACGGGAGATCAGTTATAAAGTTATAATTAAAATGGTATTTTATCAGTGTACAAAGGGAGAAGTAGACAAATGAACAGAAGAGAGAACCTGGAAACAGCCTGACCCATGCCCTGTCACCTGATTTACAACCAAGGGAACTGCAGTGGGAAAACACTCATCTTTTCAAGCAGTTGTGCTGGAAACAGTGAATTGTGACCTCACACCATACACAAAAGTTCATTCTGATGAATTGTAATGGGCCTTCAATCTGTTTTAACAGACCCTCCAGGTAATACGGATGCACTAACATTTGATATGCATTGATTTGGTTTATTTTCTCTCAGTATTATCTTGTAGTTTCCAGTACACAGATTTTACAGTTTTTGTTATCTCTCTTCTTAGGTATTTGATGTTTTGTGATGCTATTAGAAATGGCATCACTTTAAAATATTTTTATTTATTTATTTGGCTGCACTGGGTCTTAGTGAGATCTACTTCCCTGACCAGGGATCAAACCTGGGTCCCCTGCATTGGGAGCAGGAATCTTAGCCACTGGACCACTGGATCACACTCAGATATGGCATCACTTTTTAATGTCTTCTAATTGTTGCTGGTCTGTAGAAATACAAGATATACTGACTTTGAAATAAGTAAATTTAACAAATTTGCTGCACAATACTAACAGTTTATCTGTAGGTTCTTTTCAGTATTCTGCATATACAGTGGTGTCTGTAAATGAAAGACTTTTATTTCCTTCTTTCCATTCCTCATGTCTTTCATTTTTTTCATTTTGCCTTGTTGAGGACCCACCAGGGTCCTCCAGTTAGCTGAACAGGAGTGGCATTTTTGTCTTTTGCCCAATATTAGGGAGAACGTTTTCCATATTTCACCATTAAGCATAGTATTTGTTGTAGGTTTTTAAAAAAAATTATATTCATCAGATTAAGAAAGCTCTTCCATTCCTAGTTTGCTATGTGTGTTTGTCTTTAAAATAATGAATGGGTTTTTAACTCTGTCAAAGGCTTTTTCTTCCTTTGTTGCAGTGGTTCTAAGCTAGGAGTGATTTTACCTTGCATGGGGCACTGGCAATGTCCAGAGACAATTTTGGTGTCACAATTTTCTCCTTAATTCTGTTAATGCACTGAAGTACAATGATTGATTTTCAGCTATTAAACTAACCTTGCATTCTTGTAATAAGTCCAACTTGGTTGTGATTCTATCCTTTTTATACATCACTGAATATGATCTGCTAGTATTTTGTTTAGAATTTTTGCATATATATTAACAAGACAGATTATAATTTTCATTGTCATCAGGCTTTGTATGTATTTCCTTTTCAACTTTAAACTTAGAAAACAGTGTGCTCTAAGATTTTAGTTCACAGAATGTTTTTGCTCCACTTCTTTTTAAAAAATATTTATTTATTTATTTGGTTGCACCGGGTCTTAGTTGTGGCGCTCGGGATCTTCGATCTTCATTGCAGCACGCAGGATCTTTAGTTGCATCATGTGAACTTAGTTGTGGCATGTGGGATCTAGTTTCCTGACTAGGGATCAAACCTAGGCAGCCTGCATTGGGAGTGTGGAGTCTTAGCCACTAGACCACGAAGGAAGTCCTTTTGCTCCAGTTCTTTTGAGGCTGAGTGGGGTTGGGGAAGGAACAGTCTGATTTTAAAAGCAATTTTTTTCCAGTTGAAATTGTAACAGTTTCATATTAACTAGATCTCTCTAAGTTTGTCAGCTTACATACCTAACAGTTGTGTAGCCCCTAAAAACTATTTTCCTTCTAATAAGAGGGTCAGTCTGAAGCACATTAGAAGAGTAGCAGGATACTACAGGGGAAAATAGGCACAATGCATTCCTTATTTAATACTTTTTATTGAGCACTGAGAAGGCAATGGCACCCCACTCCAATACTCTTGCCTGGAAAATCCCATGGACAGAGGAGCCTGGTAGGCTGCAGTCCATGGGGTCGCACAGAGTCGGACCCGACTGAGCGACTTCACTTTCACTTTTCACTTTCATGCACTGGAGAAGGAAATGGCAACCCACTCCAGTGTTCTTGCCTGGAGAATCCCAGGGACAGGGGAGCCTGGTGGGCTGCCGTCTATGGGGTCGCACAGAGTCGGACACGGCTGAAGCGACTCAGCAGCAGCAGCATTGACCACTGAACCAAAGAAGAGAGGAGCAGATTTTAAAAGAACCAGTGTAATATCTTAGAAGTCTTCTGTGTCTACAGAATATATGACTAATGGGTTCACATTTTATTCTGAGAACTCCAGGATCTGGCCCTACCTAGCTTTTAAATGTCACTCCTACTTCTTTCCCCTTTCTACTCTATAGCAGAGCTGATCAACTTTTTTTCGGTAAAGGGCCAGATAATAAACATTTTGGGCTTTGCAGTCTTAATGGTGGCAACTATTCCATTCTGTCAATGTGGTATGAAAGCTACACGAGATATGTAAATGAATGAGCTTAGCTCTGTTACAATAAAACTTTATTTACAAAAACAGGCTGGGGCCAGATTTAGTCCACAGGCTGGGGTTTGCTAATTCTTGCCCTATAGTCAAATCAAATCACTTGCTATTTCCTACACCTGTTTCTCTGTCAGCAATGCCCATGTCTACACAGCCACATCTACCTGTCCTTCCTGATCCAATTTAAATGTCACCACACCTCCAGCCTACTCCCATAGCATCCGCTGAATCATGCATTCAAATATTTGAGCATCTAGTAAGCATTGGGCAATGTAAATACAAGGGTGTAAATGATGTTCTTGCTGTCTGGTTTAGTCCCTTTAATGAGGGCTTCAGACAAGAAAATAAACACTCACTTTAGCGGGTGGAAAAGACTATGACAAGGTGACTATGGGGTGTTGGAGAAACACAGAATGGGCATCAACCCACACTTTTGGCACAAGGAGTCTGATATGAAAAAATTCTGGAGAAGAAATGATTGTCACTAATGTTGAAGAATTGGGTGAAAAGTAAGCAAAAAGAATCTAGGGATATGTATTTTGGAGAGATCCTGTTGGCCACAGTGTGGAAAACAGGAAAGAGTTCGGACAACTGAAACAATTCAGACAAAAGTTAAAAGTCACCTAAAGAAGAGCCGTGGTGATGGGAGAAGGAGAGAGAAGGAGATGGAGCTGAGGGATGTTTAACAGGAAGAATCAACTCTTTGTATAAAATTCTATTTTTTACTGTAGTTGTTCATCACCCATGGATTTCCCCTTTGCTAGACTTTACAGGAGAGACCCACATCTGAGGTATCCATGAACTCTGCACAGAGCTGTCGCGTGTGTCAGCTGCCTCCTCACCATGTAGGTCTGTCCTGGTGCTTTGGCCACCAGACACACAGCTGTCATAACAAATCCAGCAATGCTACTCGATATGTGATTTTTTTTAGATTTAGTGCATGTTGGTGG